AATTTCTTATGCTCATTTGAAAGAAATGGATACGCAAGTTTGAGGAACTGGTGTTAGTTACCCGGTTGGAATTTTCCTCATCTTTGAGTCTGGCTTCAAGTTTCACGATCTACAAAAAAAATTGATATTTTAAGAGATTCAGGAGAAAAACAAATCCTTTATAAAAATGCATATTTTAATTTAATTTTATTACCTGTGTGTGGCGACTTTGTTCAATCTCTCGCTTTTCTTTCTCAAACTTCTGCTGGTTCTCAGTGACCATCTTGACACAAAAGAAACCAAAGAAAACCGATAAAATAAATGCACAATTTGTAAACAAAGACTGAGATACCATTGTGATAATTAAATCAATACCTGAAGGGCTTTCTCTCTCTCAGCAGTCAGTTCTTGAGCATGTTTGTTTTCCATCTGACAGGATCTTGCAGAGCAATCAGATTGTACTGAGTTCAATTCCCTTGTTTTGATTGCAAGAACCTTTATGAACATAAAATTAAGGTTAAAACTTTGGAATACAAAGCAGATGAACCCCTCTAAAAGAAAGTAACTCCTGTCCCTTTTATGGTAGTTACAAAATTTTATTACACACATCTTTTGAAGCCCCAAAATAACATAACAGGAACCAATACTCTAATGTCAATCACCTGGTCAAAGTTTTCATTTTTTTAAAGAATTCTAGTAGCAGGAGAAAGGTGTAATGTTACAGGAGAATATTTTTAAAGAGGCTCCATGTCTGAATAAAAAAATAGTCATAGGCTACCGAACTTTAGTGGGAGAATTCTGCGTAATAAACAGAGAATTCTCTGATCTCCAATACCTAATGAACACTCTGCGTGGTGGTGAGTTAAATAAACCTTCCCCCATGAAACCTAATAAAAGAAATGTAATATAACACGACTAAAAATGTTTGCTGCAACACTACATGTATAGAGGGTCCCCAATAGGTTTTCCGGGATATGGGATTTCCCTTATTTGAAGCTTGGGATTCGGAATTTTACAGCAAAATCGGGAGGGATTCGGGATTGAAAGTATGCGCGGGAGGTGGGATGCCAAAAATAATCCTCAGGATTACGGGATTGCTCGAAATCTTGGGTCAGGACTACGGGATTGAAAAACCCTATTGGGCACCCTCTGTATAGAGAGCAAAATTTATCTTTCTCAAGATATTTCATGATGAATCCAGGGGAAAAAAGGAAGTACCTCTTGACAGCTGTTTAGCTTTTGCTGAAGATCAGCCTCTGTGCTGGCAAGACGTCTTTCTAGCATCTGCTTTTCATCCTGTAACAGACGCAGGAGTTACATACATTTGTATAATCATGTTATAAGTTCTAACTATGTCAATGCATGCACCTAGCATGACCGAACAAGCTGAGTCAATGGCAGATTTATCATAAAGCAGGGCTATAAAAAAAACTTGAATACCAGCTTGTCCTTGTGTAAGCAGCTGTCACATTTTTCTCGCCCAGGGCCACTTCTTACTCGTTTTAGTGAATGATTTTGTTCGAGGATTATTTGCCTGGACCCTTGCTTATTGGGTAAGTAAGCTTTAAAAGTTACCTGCCCAGCAAGAAAATCCACCTGTCCCATGCGACGGGACAGGGCATTTTGTCAGCCCTGATAAGACTAAACGAAAACGTTTTCTTGTGGAAGCAAATTGGGAAATCCTGAACCAGAGGTCCTGAGACCTTTATTACCTGTTGGGGTAGCTAATCAGGACACAAATTTGCTTAACCTTGCCCACTTCATGGAGCAAGCCACATTACAGGGTTCTCAAAAGGGTTAAGTGACAGAGTGAGAGCCTCAAATATTGCCTTCAGCACTCGATTGCCAAACCGAATACTTTTACTTCCTAGCTGTCTACTTTAAAACTTAATAAACTTTAATAAGAACCCTGATATTATAATAAATGTAGTTTTACCTGTAAATGCTTGAGACAGTCTGCAAGATACTTCTTAACTTTGGCATCTGACCCAGGAAGAAACTTTAGTGACAGGTGGGTTAAGTGTTTGAATGGATTGGTTTCTACAACATGAAGAGTAGCAATACCTTGATCCAAACCACTTCCAACAACAAACTGTAACAGAAACCTAGGTTCAAAAACAAACAGCAAGTTTACCATGGGTTTTCAAGTCAAGAACATCAAGGAATTTCAAGCACATTAGTATACTATCTACCCTACAGGCAGAGGCCCCCTCAAGCTTCCTAGATAAGTAAAAAATGGAAGAGCCTCTGCTCACAGGGTAAAGTGTATACAAGCAGAACTTGAAAACCAACATATAAAGATAAAGGCCATTACCATGGTAAGATAGCAATACAGGCATAAGGGTTAGATATACATTGTATGTATGGTACAGTGGAATCTCGATACAACGAACCTCTAAATAACGAAGTCCTCGCTATAATGAATGATTTTCTTTACCCCATTCATAGTAAGATATATGAAAAAGAACCTCGATAAAGCAAACATATTT